CACACACACAACCACTCCAAGGCCGCTCTGCGTTCCACGGTCTGCACTACGCGGAGGTGATCGAGCAGGTCGCCATTAGGGGGGCCCGGCCCCCAATCGACCCCGGACTGCCCGCCGGACTGGCCGCCCTCATGACCAGCTGCTGGCAGGCGGACCCCACGAAGCGGCCCGGGTTCGACGCGCTGGTGACCTGCTTCGAGCTGCTTCTGGCAGGCTGCTGCGAGGGCGGATACGAGCAGGTGCGGGCCGCACAGGGTGCCACAGCAGGCGGGGCCAAGGGCGCGGTGCGGCCGGCGCCAATCGGCAGCCCGTCGCGCGGCGGGCTGCCCGGCGCGGGCGCGGGGGCGCGGGGCGGGTGCGAGGTCTGCGGGCCGCCGGCCGGCGGCGCGGGGCCGGGCGCCTTGGCGCGTCGGGCGCCCGCGCTGCAGCCGTCGCCGCCGCAGCTGCCGCCGCCGCTGCAGCAGGAGGGGGGGACGCCGCAGTCAGCGCAGCAGCCGCCGCAGCAGTCTCAAAAGGCGCCGACCAGCCCCCTGGCCCCCAAAACTTCCGGTGGCCTGGCGTCCAGCCGCTTTATTGGCGGCTGGGACTGACCAAAATTTTGCAGCGGCGTTCGTCGATGTTTGACCTCGGTTCACTTGGCCGGGAGGGCGTTGCCATGGGTTATTCCTGTTCTCATCCAAGGCGTGTTGTCGGAGATGTGGCCGATTGAATGATGCCATCGCACTGACCGACTTTGTTGGGCGGGCCGGCCGCGCACGAGCGCGCAGCTGCGGCCGGCCAGAGTGATGGTCGCACAATTTGCCGCTGAGCGGCCCTGGGTGCGCGCACAGCCGCCTCTTGGCTGTGGCTCTGCACAGCATTGCACTTCGTTTGCTTTTCCGTGTTGCGGCAGCACACGTCACTCGCTCTCGGTCCCTAAAAAGCCATCGCCAGCCTCGTGGCTGCCTTTGGCGGGCGGGTGACCGCAGCACAGGGTGTGGTGCGGCTCCCCCCCCCCCCCATGGCTCGCAGTCCGCAGCAGGCTGTTCTGCCTTCTGCTCAGCGCTGCTTCTTGGCGCGCGTGTGATTGCTTTTTGGGGTGCGATTAGCATCCCACACCGTTTGTGGATCCGGGACCCTGGCCGATTCCGCCGGTCCCCCTTGCAGCTCATCAATTCGTCTGAACTTGCGTCAGGGCACCCTGCCCGCTGTTGCCACCGGCCGTGCTTTCACGGGGGGAGGGGGAAGTGCTTCAGTTTGCTTGCCACGGGGGCGCTTCCAGGGGCGCAACGCACTTTGGCATCAGCAGCTGCTGCGGGCGTGCTGTATTCGTGGGTGTGCGTGCGCCCCTTCTCTGTTGAGGTTTGTTGTGACAGCGATTGCGCTTCTTAGCCAACACCCACAGCCAACGGTTGGCCCCCCGCTCGGGCATGATCTTGTGAGCTGTTTGTTTGGCAGCAGGCTCGTTTGTTGATGCGCGCGCAGCGCAGGGCGGCGGTGCACACGCACCTGCTGAACCCCACACACCTCATCCCTACCACCCAACGACAATGCTGATGATAGAGCACCAAATCCCTTTTTTGGGCTGTCCAGCCATCAATTGCATATTTAATTGTTCCCTGCTCCCCTGCTCCCCTTTTACATCAATAATCCCTTCCGCTCCTGACGAGGGGGCCTTCAACACTGAGGGGCCAAATGCTTCATCAAGTTGCGTGCCTGCCCCGGTTGCCCCCCTGTAACACTGGCGGGCTGTGGTGCGGCACAGGGGTTAGCGCCGGCCAGTACACACACAACGGATATGTTTGCAGGCTCGGTCGCTGTTGGTTGAGGCCATCTGTCATCAGTCTGAGCTGCCGATATATACCAGAGCAGGACAGATACCAATGCCGCCCAGCAAATGTTAAAGTGTGTGTGTGTGTGTGTGTGTGTGTGTGTGTGTGTGTGTGTGTGTGTGTGACGGTTATGGGCGGTGCTTGGTCTATGTGCTGGGGTGCTGGGGAGTTGGTGCTCGTCACCAGCAGCTCAGCAGCTGTGCCCAGCTGGATGCACAAGCTGGCAAGCATGCATCGCTCCTTTCTCATGACTTTGCTGTGTGATGCACGCAGCAGCAGCAGCAGCAGCAGCAGCAGCAGCAGCAGCAGCAGCAGCAGCAGCAGCAGCAACAGCAGGTTGCATCAAGCAGCACGTTGTCGCCGGATGATAACCCACTGCTCGTTGAGGTGCGTGCATCACGGAAGCTTACCTGCAATACAGGTGCAATGAGCGAACAAGCGGTGGCGTAACCCGCTGGCCCAAACGCGGCACTCTAGCACGCCCAGGGGCGCCCCACACGTGGCCGCCAGAGTGCCTGGAAACACTGCATGGACGTGTTGCTAGGTGCGCTGCCATTGCTTGGCACCCTAGAGAGGCATTCCGCGCGCCGACGGCTGGGTGAAGCCAAGCGGCCACAGGATGGATGCCGCGAGTCGCCCGAAAAGCGGCGGCGAACTTAGGCAAACATGAGGCACGTTCAGAGGTGCCAATCGCGAGGTTAGATGTTCATATCACCCGCATTCGCCCCGCATTTATCTACACGCCTCACGCACGCAAGATCCTTGCCGCGGAACGGTGAGCAGGGTGGGCAGGTTGGAGGAGGGAGCCGAACGCGCAAGACAGGACCGCTCTCGCCATATAGCGCGTCGCAAGTGAATCACGGCTCGTCATTTGGCTCGCGCCCGACGCGGAGCACTAGACACAGCCGGAGCTGGCGCTGCGCGGCAGGTGCTTTCAGAGGGCCCCGGTCGCCTCGCCACCATACCCTGGCGTATCGTATCGAATTTTGTGGATCCGATCCGCGCTCACCCATCGCAGACTCTGCAAAGGCCGGCCCCACCGCCAACGCCCGTGCTACGTCAGCGTGCCCTGGGAGAGACTAGTGCTCGCACTTACTTCACCCCCGCCAGACACGCCAACACGCCGCCGCACACACGCATTCAACGGCAGCACCCACGCGGCACCATCCGATCAGTGCAGGGGCGCGCACGACATGGATAGCAGCACGAGCAGCGGCGCCGACGGGGGGCTGGGCGGGGTCACTCGCGCGGAGAGGGGGTGCGCCACGTCTGCCGGCAAGCGCCGCCTCCCCATGTCGGAGGAGGAGCGCCGCGCGCGCAGGCGCCAGGCCAATAGGGAATCCGGTGCGCGGCCCCGCTGATGCGGGGAGGGCCCGTGGGCGTTGGTGGATATGCGGGCCGGCAGTTGGAGTGTCGTCGGGTCGCACGGAGACGCGGCACCCACCACGAGTTGCCGCGCGCCGCGCCGCAAGCTGCGCACGCGCATGGATGTGCATGCAGCGCCAGAGCCGACGGAACGGTCCCCAGCATTGGCATCTCAGCGCCTCAGCAATGATGCCGCCTCGCGCCGGGCGCGCGCCGCCACCGACGCCCATCTCATTTTGTCACACTTTTTCACAACCCGCGACCCCCGGCCCCGCGCGTCCCCCCGCAGCGCGCCGCATGCGCATCAAGAAGACCGAGACAATAGAGTCACTGCAGAAGGACCTTTTTGAGGCTCGCGCCCTGGCGGAGCGTCTCACCGGCGAAAACGAGCGCCTGCGGCAGATGCTCCACCTCGCCCGCTCGACCGGCGCCGGCGGCGGCGGCGCCGCGGCCGGCGGCATGCCCTCGACCGCCCTCACCGGCGAGCGGTCCGACCGCGACGCCGCCGCCGCGGCGCTGTGCCCGGAGTTTTCGGGCGTTGCGGCGGGGCACGCGCCGCTCGGCCTGTTCGGCTGCGGCGCCGCGCCCGCTCTGCTGCTGCGCGGCCTCTCCAGCAGCTCCACCCTCGGCCGCTCGCCCGCGGCCTTCGACCCTGCGCCGACCACCCCCAGCGCCTGCGCCCCCGCGGCGCAGCAGCCGCCGCTGCAGCGCGGCGCGCTGCCGGGCACGTGGTCCGGCAGCGGCGACGCGCACGGCGCCGCGTTTGGCGGCGACGCTCCGCTGGCCGCATGCGGCTCGGTCACGGGCCAAGAG